TCACCGGCCAATTTATTAGGTACACTTTGTTAGAAAAGGCTGTAAAACCTTTATGCGTTCAATATCTTTGCAATCATGTAGCGTTTTTGGTTGACTTTATTCTCTTAATTTTATGACTTCATTTTCGTAATGTTATTACTTTATTCTTGTAATTTTATTACTCTATTCTCTTGATTTTATGACTACATTCTTGTAATTTTATGAGTTTATTCTCAGAATGTTACGACTTTATTCTCGTAATTTTATTACTTTATTCTCTTAATTTTATGACTTTATTTTCGTAATGTTATGACTTTATTCTTGTAATTTTTTTGACTCTATTCTAATTTTATGACTATATTCTCATATGTTGCGACTTTATTCTCGTAATTTTATTACTTTATTCTCTTAATTTTATGACTTTATTTTCGTAATGTTATGACTTTATTCTTGTAATTTTTTTGACTCTATTCTAATTTTATGACTATATTCTCATATGTTGCGACTTTATTCTCATAATGTTATGACTCTATTCTCTTAATTTTATGACTTCATTTTCGTAATGTTATGACTTTATTCTCGTAATTTTATGACTCTATTGTAATTTTATGACTCTATTGTAATTTTATGACTATATTCTCATATGTTGCGACTTTATTCTCATGTTATGACTCTATTCTCTTAATTTTATTACTTTATTCTCGTAATGTTAAGACTTTATCGTAAACTTTGTTCTTGTAATGTTACAACTTTATTCTCGAAATACGAAGTCTTGACTTTCCTTTTATTTCAATTATAACTCTTTGGAAAATTGGAGAGAGAACAGGCCGAAATGCAGGGAAGCCATCTAGTCCAGGGGATTTATTGATTGTTTTTAAGTAGAGTGCATAATAAAGTTCCTAAAGAAGCCTTTCAAAAGAAGAGTCATAATAACAAAAAAATTGCATAATACAAAATAAAACATGGCAGTAAAAGAAATTCTGATCAGCATGGAAAAAGTTCAGTGCTGTGATTACTTTTGGGATGCATTGTAGGCAGGCGGTCTCCTCCTGGGAAAATGAAACACTTTTCATGTGGTAATAGTTCACACTATGGTTCACTAGAGTCCCAAAGCCTTAGAAATTTCTTTGTAACTTTCCCAGACTGATGACTGTCAGTGAAGTGGGTTAGAATGTCAGCCTAAAATGTCTACAAAACATGTTCCTCTTATAAAGATTGGCTCAGACCTATAGTTCTCCAAAAAAGCACTCAAATTGATTTAGCAATGGCATTCATTTACATCTAGTAACACAAATAGGTAGACCTTGAAGGCAACATTAACTGTGTCTCACTTCAATTGCTTGTTGAAATAAGCCAAAAATGCTTGGTTAGGTCCTGCTGCCAGAACTACAAATGTTCTGCAGCTATACATTTTGTAGGCTAAATGCTTTTGCTCAACTAAGTGATCAATAAATCTGTGGCTTTTGTGTGATTTCCAGAAGTGGCACTGCAAAAAGGAGCCATTGTTCCTTGACATTTTGTTTCAGAGAATTACTTCCCACCCTCTTGTCTAAGATAATTATCTGTTTTCAGGCAGCTTTGACTTTACTCACTGACAAAAGTCTCTAATCTGACGCACCCCATGTGCAGCACCTGTCATTTCTTGAAATTTGGGTGAACAAGGTGGGTATTTTCGTCTTGCTTTTTAGTAAAAGACAGGCTATGCAAAAGTAAAAATGACTTACAAAATAAGTTTTGATTTGTCACAAATGGAACAGGGCCATTATTGAAATTATTTTGCAGGCGGTTTATGTGCTGACAGATCACAGGGATGTTTGTGTTTGGAGTGCTGTTTCTGCACCCAATGTTGAAGACTTCTGAAGTTTTCTTTTTTTAAAAGAGCTCAGTTCATTATGAAGGTAGAATGTTGCTGCTGCCTCTTCACTTCTCTCAATATGTTATCGACCTTAATCTCAAAGACTTTTCATCTGTTTTTCTTTCTGGCTGCACTTAAAATTGTCTTGCTTTGCCTCCCTCACTGAGGTACGCTAATCAAATTCTTAAAGAGTGTAAAGTTTGAACTTCCATCAAAACAGGAGTTTTTTTGCTGTATGATTTTAAGCTGCCAGCATGTGACTGACAAGTATTCAAGACCAACGCAGGCAGACGAGAATAACCCTCATGCTATAAACCAGTGGTCTCAAATTCAAATCGGGGAGGGCTGGGTCCTTTAGCTTTTAGATGTGTCGCCTGCCCTACATGCCTGAAAAAATGGACAAACTACTATAGCTCTGCTAAAAAGCTGATATTGGAGTCAGGTGGGGCTGCACACTGGAGCAGCAGTTAGAGCTCCTATCTTGCAGCAACAAGATTCTGGGTTCGACTCCTGGCCCGGGGTATTTCTGCATGGTGTTTGCATGTTCTCCCTGAGCATGCGTGGGTTCTCTCCAGGTACTCCAGCTTCCTCCCACAGTCCAAAAACATGACTGTTAGGTTAAATGGCGTCTCTAAATTCTCCGTGAGTGTGAATGGTTGTTTGTTTTTGTGTGCGACCTGTCCAGGGTGGACCCCGCCTCTCGCCCACAGACAGCTGGAGATAGACACCAGCAACCCTCTGACCCCAGGAGGGATAAGCCTGATGGTAAACGGACCGAAGGTGTCAGGTGTGTCGAAGCAAAGATGCTTCCAAAATTTGCAGGATACCGGCCCCCCACAACTGAAGTTTGAAACCCCTGCACAGTTGTTTTAAATGATTCTAAAAAGCACACTGCTGTACAGGATGATATATCCATCCATCCATCTTCCTCCGCTTATCCGGGGTCGGGTCGCGGGGGCAGCATTTTAAGAAGGGAGGCCCAGGCTTCCCTCTCCCCAGCCACTTCTTTTAGCACCTCAGGAGGCGTTCCCAGGCCAGCCGACAGACATAGTCCCTCCAGCGTGTCCTGGGTCTTCCCGGGGCCTCCCCCCTGTGGGACGTGCCCGGAACACCTCACCAGGGAGGCGTCCAGGAGGCATCCTAACCAGATGCCCGAGCCACCTCAACTGGCTCCTCTCGACGTGGAGGAGCAGCGGCTCTAATATGTAGCCAACATTTGGAAGAAGAATGTTTTCAAGATGACTTGGATAATAGCGCGTTGTGACAAACACCAGATACAGCACTGGGACTTGATCAACAGCCGATACCGCACCGTGACGTCACTAACCAGTAGGTGGCAGTAGTGTTCTTTGACAAACATGGATGCCTCCAGTAAAGCACATTCACATGAAAATTACTCTAAATTAAAAGCACTGATCATTTATTGAACAGGATGGAATCATTTCACATTTAAAGAACTTTCAGAAGTTTGAATTCTGAATATAAGCGGACTTTTCCTTCAAGCTCTGACCTTCCATTTTAATGTGTTTTTTTCCACCATGTTTTTTCTCTCACAATGTTTACATCTGATCACTGCTGCACTTTAAGAAATGGAAGTTTCATGAGAGCTGTACAAAACAAAAACCTAATTAATGTGCACAAATAAGGAATAGTTGTATTAACCATACATGTAAACAGAGTTTTATGGGGCCCCCAGGAACTTGGGGCCCTAGGCAACTGCCTAATATTGCCTAATGGTAAATCCCCCCCTGCCCGCCACAGTGGATAGTCTCCTGTTGTCAAAGTGTTTGAGAACATCTTTATGAGTGCTGACTGTGGAAGAACCACAGTGTTGGTATTATTGGCCTTAGTACAACATTACACACTGTGGATAACTATTTAAAAAAATAATAGAGCACCTGGAAAACCGGGTCAGCCATTCTGGTAACGCTCGCTGAGCCTGGTTCTAATGGAGGTTTCTTCCTGTTAAAAGGGAGTTTTTCCTCTCCACTGTCGCTACAAGCATGCTTAGTGTGAGAAACTGCCTTCCAGTCAATGAGTCGATGCAATCAGCTGGTTTTTTTTAGATAGAAAACTTTGAATCAATCTGACTGGATGATCTGGTGAACTGGAAAGTGCCTTGAGATGACGTGTGTTGTTAATTGGCGCTATAGAAATAAACTTAATTAACTGAATTATTAATTGAATTAAACTAATTGAAATATCTATTTTCTAGATTTATGGCAACATTAATTTATTGGGATATCTTATAACAAATTACGTTTAAATTGGATTGAACTGAATTGGAATGAAGTATTGTGGTCCTGATGGATAAACAGATACATGGATGGATAGATGGATCAACGAACAGACAGACGGACGGAAGGAGAGATGGATGGATGGATGGATGGACGGACAGACCGATGGATGGACGGACGGATGGATGGATGGACCGATGGATGGATGGATGGACGGCAGACGGATGGATGGATGGAAGGACGAATACATGGACCGATGGATGGATGGACATAAGGACGGACGGATGGATGGATAAATGGATGAACGGACGGATGGATAAATGGATGGATAGATGGACAGACGGACAAACAGATGGATGGATGGATGGATGTAAGGATGTATACATGGACCGATGGATGGATGGACAGAAGGACGGACGGATGGATAGATGGACGGACGGACGGACAGACAGACGGATTAATGGATGGATGGATGGATGGATGTAAGGACGAATATGGACCGATGGATGGATGGACAGAAGGACGGACAGATGGATAGATGGACGGACGGACGGACAGACAGACAGACAGACGGATGGATGGATGGATGGATGTAAGGACGAATACATGGCCTGATGGATGGATGGACAGAAGGACGGATGGATGGATAGATGGATGGACGGACAGACAGACGGATGGATGGACAGAAGGACGGACGGATGGATGGATAAATGGATGGACGGATGGAATACATGGATGGACGGATTAGTGGACAGATTAATTTAAGAACTGTTAATAATTTGTTAATTCATAAAAATGAAAATCCTAAAATGTCAAATAAAAAGTTCATACAGTTACAATTAATCTCACCAACAAAAATAGACAAACAGAAGGAAAAACCTGCTCTTTGGGAGTTTACTACATTTCCCTGGATGCATTGCGCGAGAGCTACGGCAAGCTCTGATGGGCTTTGCTTCTTTCCATGCTGCAGTTAAACTCCAAAGTTATAGTGAGCTATTGAATTTCATCCAAACTAATGGTTCTACCAATAGAAGCATTTTAAGTTTTAATATCTTTAAGTAGAAATCTACAGAGCGAACCATTTTCTTCTTTTAAACGCGTCGCTCTTAGACTGAAAAGTTTGTTAAAGTTAGCCGCGAAGCTAACAAGATCTTTAGCTACAATTAGCTGCTAAATGATGGTAAGCGGTGAGAGATGAGCCATGGTGGTGTTACTGGCGGGGATGTGTCCTGGTCTGGATGCGGATTTACTGCGGAGTCTGCGGGCAGCTGATGTCAGAACAGGTTAGTCTGAATCTCTGCTGTTTTAATGACAAATAATTAAGATTAGCTAAATAAAACCTGGATTGTTGTTTTCTCAGTGGAAGACCTCGTCTCTTCTGACATCGAGGATCTGGCTCAGAAATGCTCCGTTTCCTATAAGGTATTTAACAGGAACAGGTGCATTTATTTGTTTATTTTAAAAATGTTCAGACATTAGTTAGGGCTAAAAACTTTTGGGTTGATCAGAGTGAAGAGCAGATAAATGTTCCAGATGCCTGCGTCAGCATAACATTACATTTATTAAGATATTTCCAGTGTTTGTTCTTCTGAATAACAGTTATCTGACAATCAGGGGGGCATGTACCATTACTGAACAGGTGCCTAGGGCCCCAAGTTCCTGGGGGCCCCATAAAACATGGTTAATACAATTATTCTTTATTTGTGCACATTAATTATGGTTTTGATATAAAAAATCCTTTCACTAAAATGCTTATAATATTATCTTTTTTTTTGTTGTTCTCATTTTTATACTCGCATCTGATAAACTAGCCTACTGTGTAATGCCAGGATCAGCAAACATTTTGGATGTTACATTTTCGTTGTTTGTTGCTGAACATAATTGCCTCACAGCATTGTTGCCCCATCTTTTCCCAGAGAGCATGATTGAAATTAAAGAAAAGAAATACATTTAAGTAAGTAAAGGGGGAAAAAAAACTAAACTGTCAAAAAAATCTGAGAAATTTTTATAATTTATATACAATACAGTTCAGTTCAGTTTATTTATGTAGCACCAAAGTCATCTTATCTTGGGTCACTTTACAGACACAATTCATTCAGATTGGTTCAAAGTTTTCTATCTAAGGAAAACCAGCTGATCGCATCGACTCTTCAGCAATCCCTCACACTAAGCATGCTTGTAGCGACAGTGGAGAGGAAAAACTCCCTTTGAACAGGAAGAAACCTCCAGCAGAACCAGGCTCAGTGTGAGCGGCCATCTGCTGAGGCCCACTGGGGTTCAAGGAGACAGAAGCAGACATAGAAAAAGAAGCATAGATACAAAAGGCAACTGTAAAAGGCAGACGAGCTCCAAGCCAGCTCCCATGTCAGAGAATAAAGAGAGCACATCCAGTTAGTCACAGTCAGAGACACAGGACTACACTGAAAAACGGGCAGATCTTGTACATATAGAAACAAAGGTGTTGATGGCAGCAGCACAGCTGATATTTCTCTCCAGGATGGAGTCACAGCCAAACAGGAACAGACCAGATGAAGCTACAAAAACAACAAAACAAATTTCCTGAATCCGCCCCTGCTGCTAATGTTTTGTCATTATTCAATTCAGTTTATTTCTATAGCTCCAATTCACATCATGTCATCTCAAGAAACTTTCCAGTTCAACCAGATCATCCAGTCAGATTGATTCAAAGTTTTCTATCTAAGGAAAACCAGCTGATTGCATCGACTCATTGACTCTTCAGCAATCCCTCACACTAAGCATGCTTGTAGCGACAGTGGAGAGGAAAAATTCCCTTTGAACAGGAAGAAACCTCCAGCAGAACCAGGCTCAGTGTGAGCGGCCATCTGCTGAGCCCCACTGGGGTTCAAGAAGATGGAAGCATATAATGTCATAAATTAAATGAGTTTTTTGGCGCACAGGCCCCAGCAGAGGGCTTTGATGCTGTGAATCTACATTCGCTAGGATGAGTAACCTAAAAAAGGATTACAGACGTCTAGACTAGAAATGAGAGGAGAGGCAGAGCAGTTGATCAAATTATCACCAAATGCAAAATGGATAAAGTAGACTAACTATTAACGACTTTTCCAAACCTAAGCTTATTGAAAAAAAATATTCTATGGACAACATTAGAAAGCTTGGTCTGTGTAAGGTAACCAGCCTTGATCAATGATTGGAACAGGACTTTAATATCCAGGCAGGGCTGTGCCAGATTATAGAAAGCCTCAAAAAATCATTTGGTCAACTTGCCAAAGGACATTTAACCACTAAGAATTCAGGATTATATTTTTAACCAAGCCTGTAGGAATAATATAGATACTCAATGGATCAAAGAAAATACAACTTATTAAAACATATTAAATATTATTAATTAAATAACCGCATGCTTTTAATCAATAGAATGGTATCCTCGTGATTATAGTTAATGTATGAAAAACCATCTCACCCAAACTTTACATTTTAAATTCTTTTTGAAAATGTATGTGGATGGATACTGCTGTTTGCACATTTTTTATTTTTATTTTATAGCAATATGTCCGTGATTATTTACCATTGTTCTATCTGACTAAGAAATGTCTACGTTGATAAATTTCAGTTATATAATTTTCATTTTGCTCAAACTGAGAGCCATCATTTTAAACAACTGACGATAGATTATAAACATTTTTGACAAAACAGCTTATTAATACCTCATAAGAATATATAAAAAATATGTTAGCTAAGCCAGTTGATATAAGATTGATTGAAATTGTTTAAAAAACTTGTTTTTTGATTGACTTATCCTCCTAATCGTAGAGGGTTTTAAGCCAGTTATATTGTAGATTTATTTGGAAGAGAAGACAAAGCTGCAGGGAGGCAATCAGCAGAGACTTTACCAGCATTTAACTCTGGCATTGTTGCTAATAAGACAGGTGGGTTTTACTTTAAAAAATCCTTCTTTGAAGCTTTAATTAAACTCAAGCTGCTTCCATCAACAGGCGCTCCTGTGTTGACCTCTCAGCAGCTCCAATTAGAGGCCAAAACAAAGGGTCAGATCTGCAGTGGGAGTCTGAGGGACCACTGGGAGGCTGGTTATCAGCTCCGGAGATAAATGCCTGGAGGCTGAACAACACGGGGCAGAATTTCCAGCTCAGTCGCTGGGTTGAACCTATAACTTCAGCAGGCTGTGAGGTTCCATGATCCCAAGGGGAAACATCTATGAAGTTGCCTTTGACTTAGATTTGTATGCATCTGCTGGATTTCAGCTCACATCTTCTGATTTCAAATGATTATGCAGGTAGATTCTCTTTGAAAAGCTATCAGGAGTTGAAACATCTCACCTATGTTTGCATGGCAGTCTCCAAAAGAAACATTTTAGCCAAGAGTTGCTGAGACCTTATATGGGTCCATCTGTTGATCTTTTCTGTGACTCTAAAAGAATTCAATTGAAATCAAGAATTCAATTTTGCCATCTTTCCACTAAAATTTGGAAAAAATAAATGAAGTTTTTCGGTATTAAATGAGAAAAGGAACTATTTTAAGTTATTTTAATCAAGTTTTTTCCAAACTCAATCACTGCCAAAAACCATCCATCCATTATAACACCATGTGCATCAAGGTAACAGAGGGCAGGCCCCTCCCTATCTCCAGTAGTCTATGGGCAAAAGGAAGTTTACACTCTGGGTGGGGCCCCAGTCCATTGCAGGGCAAACCAGAGACACAAAACAATACATACACACTTAAAAAAGACTTGGAGTCCCCAATTAACTTAGTAGTCATATTTTTGGACACTGGGAGGAAAAGTTCATAGAGAACCCAAACAGGAATGGTGAGAATGTGCAAACTCCACAAAGAAAGACTCTAAATCAGGGATCAAACTAGGGCTGCAAAGCGATTAATCTGTTGATTATTTTTTCGATAAATCGATTAATTATCGGATAGCCAAAGGTTCCTTAAAGAATATATTTTTACAAAATGAAAACAGGTGAAACAGTTGCCTTTTGTATCTAAACTTCTTTTTCTATGTCAGCAGATGGCCGCTCACACTGAGCCTGGTTCTGCTGGAGGTTTCTTCCTGTTAAAAGGGAGTTTTTCCTCTCCACTGTCGCTACAAGCATGCTTAGTGTGAGGGATTGCTGAAGAGTCAATGAGTCGATGCAATCAGCTGGTTTTCCTTAGATAGAAAACTTGGAATCAATCTGACTGGATGATCTGGTGAACTGGAAAGTGACCTGAGATGACATGATGTGAATTGGCGCTATAGAAATAAACTGTAAAAAAAAGATATTGGGGGAGAAAAAGCAAACATTACAAATAAAAGAAAAATTAAAAAAACGAATTCAAATAAGACAAACATGAGTCCCTTGTTTGTCTAGTCTAAAATAATAATTAGGCATTCAATTTGTGTCAATGATTCACATGGAAGTGATTATTTTGGAGTATTTGGTCTGTTTGTTTATTAATGGTTCCCATGAGAAACACTATATGTGGGAGTAAGGAGCAGCAACACAGAATCTCTGAGCAAGCAGCTCCAACCAGGAAAACTCAGGGATGCTGGCATCCTCCACAGAACCTACCCCCCATTTCCTCTGTCTCTGGTTCCCGCGGGTCCTTGAAAAGTCTTAAAAGGCATTGAATTCTTCAAAATAAAACTAAGGCCTTAATTGGTATTGAAATGTCTTAAATCCGTCTTTCGTAGGTCTTAATTTTAAAACATAAATAGGATACATTTTATTATAAATTATTATTATAAGTTATTATAAAACATTAAAATTGACCTTTTTTTTTTTTATTTAAAAAAAATAACGGCTCGCCATTATTGGTTCCGTCCCCATAGCGGAACCAATAAAGCGTTGTTGCGGCCGGGACATTTGGGAGATGCACCATTAACTTTTTGTCTGGAAAAAATAAGAGAAAGTGTAAATGTAACCTAAATTGTCTCCAGCCAAGAGTTTTCTCCACGGCTAAAACCAGGGAACATACATGAGGCTCAGTGGATTTAGTGCAAGAAGTCATTCAAGCTCAGAACGATGGGAATTAAGGCAGTGGAGTCGCACATGCGAAGCGCGAAACACAAAGCGTCAAAATGGAGTTACAGAGAAACAGCCGGTATTTCTCAGTTTAGTTCCACCCTTGTCTCTGCAACGCCTCCTCTTATCACCAAATCAAACATAGAAAACCATACAAAGAAAAATAGCTGCAAAAAAGACTTAGCACTGGTTATGTTGGGGCTTTAAAACTGATTAGTTTTGTTCCCTGCTAAAACAAAGTTTATGAATTCAGTTAAATAATTGTTAAAATATATCTGTCATTTGTGTGTTTTTAGCTTTCTTCCTGTATCGGAAGCTTTTCAACATTTGAAACATTAGTGCAGTGGTTTATGTTAAAATAAACCTTTGGGTTAAGTTGTCGCAAGCAGGTTTTTCTTGTGTTTCTTGTGAATTTGG